ATGGTAATATTAGAGAAATATTTTCATAATGGTTAAGGTCCCTCAATATTTTTCTAGAGAAATTTCGATCTAGAAAAATTATGTGCAGAGAATTTTTCTGTATTCAAATCAAAGAAAATTAAAATTTTTTTGAGTTCAAACCAAAGAAATTCAGAGAAAATTAAATTTTTTTTGGGTTTTTTCACAAATTTCTCTGTGTTTGTTCACAATTTTAAACCAAAGAAAATTATTTTAACCAAACTAGAGAAATTTTAGCACAAATTTCTTGGTGTTTGCTCACAATTTTAAACTAGAGAAAATTGATTCCAGTATATCCACATATCTGCACCAAACAAATCCTGCACCAGAAAGAAACCCCTGTATCAGTTCTTGAAAAGCATCTAGTATAAAATCTGATACATGAATCATATATAGACATTGTTACCCAAGTAGACCAAGGAGTGATCTAAAAAAACTGTTTTAATCAAACCAAAGAAATTTTAGCACCAATTTCTCTGTAAATCTCTTTCTTGCAAATCCTCTAAGCTTCATTCTCACACCTCACTTTTACACACACACATAGGCAAGACAAAGCAATTCTCTCTCAGATTTCTCTTCTCTTTCTCTCTCTTGATTTCAGTGTTTATCTCTCTAATCTCTGTGTCTCTTTTCATTCTTCCAATTCCAGTTTTCATATCTCAATCTCTCTCTATCTATATATATCTTTATTATCGTCATCGTGTGATTGAAATTTCAATGCTCTATGCAAACCACTGCGATTGAATATTAGTATCATTTGAAAGCTAATTCTGAACCTAGAGAGAGAGATAGAGAGATGTTTAGATCTCAATGTTGATGTAGTTACGGAAAATCAACTTGTGATGAGCTCAAGAAGAAGAATATCGTGACGAGGAAGCTTCTAGAAGGTAATGATTCAGGAACTTCGAATTCCTTCATGTAGTCAACGCTGACGAAGCTTCGAACAATGCTGCAGACAGAGACTCCAACTCTAACATGATCTTTCTGGATCGTCGTCATCGGCAACCTCGTTGTTGAGGCCGCAGTGGTTGAATCTCTCGTTGGCGGAATCAGAAAGATTGTTTTTTGTTGAAGAGGAGAAAGAGAGGGGTTTGTTTGGTGCGAGAAGAGAGATGAGAGAGAATGAGAGAGTGAGTGCTATATATGGGTGTGGGTGAGAGACCTTAGACTATAAAAAAATTATTATAAACTTTTCCCATTACTAAAAGTTGGATAAGGATGTTATATTAATTTTTCCCAAAAACAAAAACCCCACAAATTACCATATTTTTGTTCATCTCTTTTTATTGGGTGCACATAAAAAAGAAAAAAAGATAGGCACATTGAAAATGGAATATTCGGGGTTTATAGAATGTTGTCCTAATTAATGTTGCATTCACGAGTAAAGCATGATATTCTGTTCAACGTTCAACCAAAACTCATTACAAACCACGCAATCTATTACGCGAATTCCGCAGTTTATTCCCTCTCCTAACCCTATCATCATATTACTATACTATATATCAACCAAAAAAAAAAAAAAACCCTATCATATATCATATCCACGACCCAAATTTGATCAAAATTTACCAAAATTATTTTTTTCATACATCTGCTAAATTATGTCAATAAAACATACTTTTTGATTAATTAACGTAATATATGCACCCAATTGTCTGACTCGAACTTGAGATTTCATTTTTTTTTCAAAGTGCATTTTTCATCATGATCAGTTTTGGTTCAACGTTCAACCAAAACTCATTTTTTTTTTTTTATAACCTGAATAGTTTGGGCTTCACAATCATTTTTTTAATCATTTTTTAGTTGAAAATTTTCATTTTACTTGACTTTTTAAAAATAGTTCAAAAGTCTTACAACTTTTAATTTTAATGCAGTAGACCAACTTAAAAAATAAAAAATAATCGAAAAATGTTTACTAAAACAAAAAAAAGTTACAGATGTAATTTTTTTTTTTGGTCTTTTGTGAAATTATCTTCATTTTTTTTTTAGATCATTCAAAACTCATTAGGTTTGCGAAGTAAATTTTTTTACTAACCCAAAAATTCTTTTAAAAGATTATAATTTTTTAACTGATACTTGGGTGAAATGAACCCTATTTTTTTAAAAAAAATTAAGGGTAACACTATATAAATAAAAAAAAAAAAATCATACATAATGGTATAGCTCACTTCAAAACAAAATATCATTATTAATAAATTTATTTATAATAATAGTAATAATAATATCACATCATTCTTTTTAAATTTTTTATATAAATTTTAGGTAAGAATAAAAATTTTAAAAATAAAATGAGTATTACTTGGTCAAATGGGTATTACGCCCCCTTTGGTATGGGGCTATCAGATTAAAATAATCATAAAAAGATAAAATATGTTAAAAAATTAATGAAATCAATGTCACAGTTAAATCATGATTATTTTATTTTTTCTTTCATAAAAGTCAAAAAAAATTAAAAAATACAATTCAAGCAAAGTTTTTTAACCTCAGGTTAAAATAACTAAAAATTTAAAAAGTCAACATACCTCCCAAACAAAACCAATCTCATCAATTTGTAAATCAATGGTCTCGTTTGGAAAGTTGATTATTTTAGTAGATTAAATTTTTTTGTGTTTGGAAAGATTGTTGAATTTTTTTAGTTAGATGTGATATTTGTGAGAAAAAAAAAGTGAAATGATTATAGATTTAATGTGACATTTTATTTTATTCATTATTTTAGCATATTTTGGCGTTGTTTGGCAAAGGCTACCATTTGGCTTTTTAGACTAAAATTCATAAAAAGGCAAAATAGGTTAAAAAAGTCAATAAGACAAAATGTCACATTAAACCCATAATCATTTTATTTTTTCTCTTACAAACATCACATCTAACTAAAAAAAATCCAATCATCTTCACAAACAAAAAATTTTTTGGCCTACTAAAATAGTTAAAAACTAAAATAGCTTACTAAAATAACCAACTTCCTAAACAAGGCCTTTATCTTTTTGTAAATTTTGGTCAAAAAAAAAAACCAAAAAACCTCTTGTCAAACTGGGCCAATATATTCTGGGGTGATTTGGAAAGTTAGTTAAAAGTTAAATTTTTGACTTTTTTTTGATGTTTTATTCCTTTGTGTATAAAAAATATGAAAAGTGATGTAACCAAAAATAAGTTAAAAAGTTAAAAACTAACTTTTGTTTTTTGGCTTCCAAGTGGCCCCTCTATGGCTTCGTTTAGAAAAAAGGATTAGATTGGGTTTCGAGCTATTTTAGTTATAAAAGATAAAATAAGTTTTTTAATTTAATAAGACTAAATATCACATCTAACGCATAATCATTATATTCTTTCTTTCACAAAAAGTCAAAAAAATCTTTTCTAGGAATTGTTTGGGATGTTGTAAATAAGTGTACTTTTTTACTTTTTATGAAATATAGGTTGAGTTTGAAGAGATATGGTAGAGAGGTGATGTGACTTAAAAATGATAGTGACTTAAAAATGATAGTAACTTTTTTACTTTTTAAAAAAATGTCAAACCTAACCTAAATAACACTTTTAATCCCAGATTAAAATAATTAAAAAGTTAAAAAACAACCTAGTTCGCAAATCGAATCCTATATTTACCACGTTTAGATAACGAGACGATAATTTACAGTTCAGAAAAGCCAAAAAACGAGATGATAAGCTGATGAGATTATGGGGTGTCGCATTTTGAGAAGACATAAGCAGGCCAGAGAAGCCAGCTGGCAGCAGGGCCGCGCTAGAGCCGAGTGCTTTTGTGGGTCACACACTTCACGTGCCAACACGCCCCTACCTCCAAACACGCAATCAAACTCCGCCACGTGGCTCACCTACATCTACACTACCACGTGTCGCCATTCCTAAGCTCTCAATTCTTGTGGGGACCACCGTCTCCTCTTTTCCTAAACCAGGTGAACCCCCTCCCTTCGAGTCGCGACAAATTTCAAAACATTTGTAGAAAAATAATTTATTATCGGTAAAAAAGTGACAAGATGATGCCAAATTGACCAAAATACCCCCTCACCCTTTTTTTGTCTCCACGCACGAATGTACAGTTTTTACCCCTCCGATCTACACACGTGGCATTCGTGTGAGGATTAAACTCACCGCCTGTAATCATGAGATTTATTTACTTGCCTTTTTTTTACAGTTGAACGGATAAGAACGTCCCTGCCAATTTTACAATTTTAATTTCGTTCAAAAAAATTACTTTTAAATTTTAAATGGCTTAGGTTTTCGTAGGAATTTATTTTTTTTATAATGTTTACAATTATTTTAGTAGAAATGAATATCAAAAATATTTTAGTGTCTTTAAAATAATTATTTTTTATACAATAAAAAATAATATTAAAATAATTGGTGTTTTTTATTTTTTTTACTAAATTAGGTTTTAATGTTTTTATAGATACTGAAAAGTAAACCAAAGAGAGGTGCAATGCAAGATATCAATTCATTTCATCATAGTTAAGGTACGAATTGTAGACTAGTGCTGTTCAAATTTAAAATTTATATTTATTTTTTCAAATTCAATGATTTAATAGTATATTAAAATATCTAAGATACATCTTTCTTTTAATCTTGTTAAATTATTTACCAATTACCTTATTTAAATATAGCGGTGCTTTAACAACCAAATAAAAAGTCAATTTTTAAAAAGATAAAATAGATTAAAAAAATTAAAAAATTAATTTTTTTATCAACTTTTTAAAACATCATATAATTATTTATTTATTTTTTTCAATTTTGTGTTTAGAAATCACTTTTCAAAGCTAAAAGCAGGCATTTTGGAGTGGATAAGATAAAAAACAGATTTATGTCATGACATTATCAGATAAAATTCGAGGGTACTTATGTAATTTCGACAAAATGAAGTTGCAGAGAAAATGAGGAAGAGAGAGCAAGGAGAAAACAGTTGAGAGAGAGAAACCTTATCCATTAGTCCCTACTCTACATTTCAAGACCTTTATAAAAGCAGATCAAATGATCATACAAAGACCCAAACTAGAGCATATTAAGAAAAAGAGAAAGAACAAACTGCTAGAGAGAGAGAGAGAGAGAGAGAGAAGCAAAGAACTTGAGCGATCTCTGATAATGGCGGCATCGAAGAGCTACTACGCTCGAGCCAACTGCCGATACCTCTCCAGCGACCGAGACGCTCCGATCACTTCCGATTCCATGTTCGAGCTCGACGAATCCGACGTTTGGAACTCGGTTCGATCCTCCTCGCCGGAGTTCCGGAAACCGGTGCCGAGTTCGCGAATCTCGAAGAAGACGGCGGCGAAGCGAACTGAGGCTGGAGCGACGGCGTCGTCGCTGCCGGTGAACGTACCGGACTGGTCGAAGATATTGAAGGAGGACTACAAGGACAATCGGAGGAAAGATAGCGACGATGACGTAGACGATGGAGAGGGAGAAGAGGCAGGGAATCGGATTCCGCCGCACGAGTTTTTGGCGAGGCAGTTGGCGAGGACGAGAATCGCATCCTTCTCGGTGCACGAAGGCATTGGGAGAACTCTCAAAGGGAGGGATCTGAGTAGGGTTAGAAACGCTATTTGGGAGAAAACTGGGTTCCAAGATTAAACAAACTCCAAATCGGAAATATCACAACACAACATAACACGGAGATGATACTATCAGTTAGTTAGTTCGTTATTATTCATCGATCATCCATAGCTTTAACTGCTGCTCTTTTTTTTCTTTTTCTTTTTTTTTTCTTTTTTTCTGTGCTATTTTATTTTTGATTTCATTTTTTTGGTTTTGGTGACTGATGATGGAGCGGATTATGAGTGCATGTAATCCTAACTTTTGAGAGGAAATCATGAAATGCTGATTTTATTTATTTTGTTATTTATTTGGTTGTGTTGGTTTCTGGTTTGAAAGGAGAAAAGGAAACTGGAAAAGTTGGGGGAAGTAGTAAAGGCTTCGTTGGTATTTGATTAATTGGCTAAATTAGTTTTGTTGGAGATCAATTTTTTTAAAAATTTTTTTTATTTGGATACGGTGATTAAGAGAGTAAAAATAAAGTAATCATGGTTTGAATTTAATATTTTATCTTATTAATTTATTTAGTTTATTTTACTTAATTTGGTGTGTACTATATAATTATATATATATATATATATATATATATATCTTATATTATTTTTTTATTTTTTATTTTATATTTTTTCATAAAAAGTGAAAAAATAATGGGAAATTTACCAATAAATCTCAAAATGTAAACTTATGAACCAATTAGTCCCATTTTTATTCTAGTAAACCGTTTAGTCCCATTTAATTGTGAGGGACGTAATTACCCTCATCTCTAACCGTTGCTCACAGATACACAGACACACACACACAGAGATACACACACACAGAGATACATACACACACACACAGAGATACACACACACAGAGATACACACACAGATACATACACACACAGAGATACACACACACAGATACACACACAGACACACACAGATACATACATACACACACAGATACACACACACACAAATACACACATACATTACGAGGGGCAGACACACACACACAGATACATACACACACATCTGCAGATCTGAGACTGAGATCTGAGTCGCCATCATCATCACACACACACACATGCATCTGCAGATCTGAGACTGAGATCTGAGTCGCCATCATCATCACACACACACACAATCACAGGGAGAGAAGAGAGGTCTCGATCGGTTGAGAGAGGAGAGAAGATGGAGACTGGTTGCGCCGATGGTATCAAGCGGCGGAGTGCGGCCACGGCGGCGTAGAGACGAGAGACAGAGAGCGGCAGAGAAAGATGGGGTCTGAGATGAGAGAGAGAGAGAGATCTGAAATGAGAGATGAAAGGAGTTTTGTTAGATTAGATCTGTGATAATTGATTGCAAATGAACAGAATAATTTTAAATATAAATTTAAAATTTAATCTGTAATTAATTAATAAAATAATATTAATTGATATCAATCAATATAATTTTAACGGATTTAATAATACTTTACGCCATACGAATTTGGGTGGGGCTCTGGAGAAAAGTAGAAGCTAGAAATGAGTCATGACTGGCCTTTGAAAAGTTATAATCATCCATGTACCTTCTTTCTAGTTCTAGTTCTGGTTCAATCTGTGCATTTCCTTTTGTGGTTCTTTACTGTTAGACAATCTTTATTATATGTGGATTGAATTTTATTATGCACTAAATAATAATTAGAATATAAAAAATTAAAAGAAATGAAAAAGTTTGTTTGATTATAAAAATTAAATTAGAAATAAAATAAAAATAAATAGAAATAGATTTTATTTTGTTACAAAAATAAAATTAAAATATGATTTAAATAAATAAATAAATAAAACATAATAATAAATTAAACAACTTACTTGATTAATTTCTTTGAATAATTATCTGATCAAGTCCAGTGTCTGACATTGTGTCATTAAGACAGATTCGTCCTCTCCTCGGTGCTTTCAGAATTTGGACGTCTATCTCTCAGGATAAAATGATATACTACAAACAATAGCAGCACTACAAATTGTTTGTCTTACGAGCACACTAAGTGTTTACAATTTTTCTTACAAGAAAATAATGCAACAAAATAAAGAATGAATTTGCAAAGCTCTTAAGGACGAAAATAATGAATTTTCGGAATGACCAATATCAAATGAGGGTTGTCCTATTTATAGATGTAATGGTGGCTACAAATTTTGAATTAAACAGGTGCAAACCTATTTGAACATGTATGAATCGGTTGGTTTTGAATTCTAACAATAAAACCGGACCAGTTTATTTCCGGTTTAATTTGAATTCTGGATTTTATTTTACCAAAAATAAAATTAAATTCACATGTTTTTGGCCCAAAAAGATTAGTATTGGGCCGAACAAGCCCAACCCAACTACGCACCCGCGCCCAAGCCCAGCCCAGCCCAGCCGACCTACCGGACGGACGGACGGTGGCGGCGCGCGCCCGCGTGTGGTGGTTTTTTGGGTCCAATGGGTCTAGCCCATTTTGCCCATAATCTCTCCCTCTAAAACACTTGGGTTCCCTTTGGGGCATATCCCAAGTACCAAACCCATGCCTTATAAACCTATTCAAAACTTCCCACCAAATCAATGTGGGACAAGCCTTATTCAATACCTTTAAGGATTTTTCACCAAAACTCCATTTCCATGGAGCACACTTTGGCTTCAATTTTCCATTCACTAGGTAATGGTTTTGAGAAACCAATTATACCACGTGAATCACAACGCGGCATAGAACGCGTTACCACTTTGACCCGTGAAAATCGACGCACGGGGCCCACCTAAAAAATAGACCAAACTTAAGAAAAAATTCTGGTTTTACCCAAAATTTTATAACCATTTCCAACAATCTCCCACGTTAATGGAATTTGATGACAACGGAAATGCAACAATATGCAGACTTTATCGAAAGAGTATAAGTCGAAAATATCTTGCATCAGGATAGGTAGCTTTCGGCCTTGAACCTTCCCTAGTGATAACCTATCGGACTTACTAGCTAACCAATGGGCGTGATGCCTTGAATTGTTCAGCCGTTTGTGTAAGCCAAGACAATAGATTTCACACAAAATATCTTCTAACACATCGTGGTTCTCACTGTTGTGTTCATTTTGGCCTTGAACACTCCTGATTTTCATGAATGTTTCTAGAGAATTTAGCCTTTTCATTCTCATAGAACCGGCCCCAGTTCGACACTCATATAGGTGATTCTTATTGTGAATATCTCCTTATACTCGCCTTGATTTTATGCCTTAATCAAGATATAAGTAATCATTAAAAGCAAAGCTTATCCTTATACTCCTATAGACAACACATGTTGTAGATATCACTCTCACCATAAGAATGGGTAGGGAATTTTAATGCCTTGGTGATTTCTGGCGAGCCATACATAACTTAGTTGTCCCTTTGAACTTAGTTCCTGAGATCTCCAGTTATATAAGTAGGGTTACAATTATGACGACTCTTATGTAATAGGCTTCAATCCCATCCCTTTCGATGAATTATACACTAGCTCTTTTGTCAAACCTTTTATTAACGGATCCGCAATATTCTCTTTAGATTTTATATAATCTATTGAGATTATTCCATTTGACAACAACTGCCTTACGGTATTATGTCGACGACGAATATGTCGTGACTTACCGTTATACCTATGATTCTGTGCCCTGCCTATTGCAGATTGACTATCACAATGAATGCAAATAGCTGGCATAGGTTTTGGCCACATTGGAATATCTTCTAAGAAGTGACGAAGCCATTCGGCTTCTTCTCCTGCTTTGTCTAAAGCAATGAACTCGGATTCCAATGTGGATTGTGTGATGTATTTTTGTTTCGTGGATTTCCAAGATACAGCAGCGCCTCCCAGAGTAAAGACATATCCACTTGTGGATTTTGAATCTTTAGTATCCGATATCCAATTTGCATCACAATAACCTTCAAGCACTGCTGGATATCGAGTAAAGTTCAAACCATGATCACGGGTGAATCTTAGATATCTAAGAACCCGAATGATCATTTTCCAATGGTCTTCTCCGGGGTTACTAGTGTACCTACTCAATTTACTGATAGCATAAGCTATATCAGGACGAGTACAATTCATTAGGTACATTAGGCTTCCAATGATTTGAGAGTATTTTAACTGAGATACTACATCACCTTTATTTTTCAATAAATAAAGATTGACATCTACCGGTGTTCTAGCTAAATTCATATCATCCTTGATAAATTTATCAAAAATTTTCTCAATATAATGTGATTGAGATAATGTATATCCGTCAGATGTTTTAGTAATTTTCATTCCTAATATAACATCTGCGACCCCTATATCTTTCATATCAAATCTTTTGTTAAGCATCTGCTTAATTGATTTGATCATATTTTGACTGCTTCCAATGATATGCATGTCATCCACATAAAGACAAACTATGACATATCCTTAGTCAATGTTTTTAACATAGACGCATTTGTCACATTCGTTTATCTTAAAACCATTAGTAAACATTGCATAATCAAATTTTTCATGCCATTGCTTAGGTGCTTGTTTTAATCCATAAAGAGACTTTACAAGCCGACAAACTTTATTTTCTTGCCCCAACACTACAAACCCTTCGGGTTGCTCCATATAGATCTCTTCATTTAGATCACCGTTTAAGAAAGCTGTCTTAACATCCATTTGATGTATTTCTAAATTAAACAACGCTGCTATAGAAATAAACATACGAATAGAAGTTATTCTTGTCACAGGGGAATTTGTGTCAACATAGTCCATACCTTCCTTTTGTCTGTAACCTTTAACTACAAGTCTTACTTTATACTTGTCAATTGAACCATCTGCTTTCATTTTTCTCTTGAATATCCATTTATATCCAAGAGGTTTAGAACCTGGTGGAAGATCCACCAATTCCTAAGTACGATTTTGCATAATAGATTCAATTTCATTATTAACAGCCTCTTTCCACAAAAGTACTTCAGGACCTGTCATTGATGCCTTAAAGCTTTGAGGTTCATTTTCTAACAAGTATGTCAGAAAATCTGGACCAAAGGATTTTAATGTTCTCACTCTCTTACTTCGTCTTGGTTCATCATCAGTTAAATCCTGTTGGTCGAGACCATTACTAGTCTCTTGTGTTTGATTGTCATTAGTCTCTTGACTTTGTGTACAATTATAAGTTCTTTTCTGTGAACTTAATTCTTGTCCTTTCTTGTAAGGAAAGACATGTTCAAAAAACACAGCATTCCTTGACTCTATAATAGTGTTCACATTTATATCAGGTATTTCTGATTTATAAGTCAGAAACCGATATGCACTACTATTCTGAGTATAACCAATAAACACACA